CCTGCCTGCCAACCCTCTCCCCCGCCTTGCCTCACCTCACGTATGGCTGGGATTTATCGCTTTCTCCTCACACCTCCTATTGGACTTTATTTTTGAAGACTCCTGTGGCACCTCTCATGATCTTTCTTGTATTATTATTACTATTCCTTGTCACATAATTTCCCTCAGCTGCTACCTACTCCCACCTGACCTAGCTCTCTTCAGGAACAGGGACATGTCTGACTCATCTTTATATTTATAGGGCCCAGCTTGGTGTCTGGCATGTAGTAAGTACTCAATAAATGTTTTCTGAATGACTGGAGCCAAGGTGATGGCCTGCTTCTTCTCCTGGTCCTGGGGAGCCTGTCACGAGGAGACATGGCCAGCCCCACTAACAGGGGCCAGAGGGGACAGGTATGCCCAGCAATACCTCCAGGCACGTGGGCTCTCCGACTCCCGTGGCTTTCCAGGGTGGGCCAAGGCCACTGCCTGATGGAGCCCCCTGCCAGGGTCTGGGGCACCATCACCCAGCCTGAAAAAATACCCTAGCAGGGAGCTGGGCCAGAGGTGGTGGTAGGCTGGCTGCCCAGGAACAAGGATGGTATGAGCGCCCTGGTGCCCAGCATGCCAAGCCAGCACTGTCCACGGATGGACGCCAGGGGCCTGGGGACTCCCTGTTCCCAAGGCCCAACTGCCTGGCTCTGTTCCTGCCCGTTCTCCCCGCATCTCCCCAAAATAGCTGGAGTTTATTTTAGCCCCTCCCCCACTTTACACCCCACCCCAAATGGTGACAAACAGAAACACCTCATTATCCGGAGGCAAGATGTTCAGAGGCAAATGTTGGTCTGTTCAGAACAAAAAAGAAAAACACAAAACAAACCCAGAAGGAGATTGGGAGGCTGCCTCAGGGCAGGTCAGGGAGAGGCCTGCAGACTTGGCCTGACACTCCTCGGGCTCCTGGGAAGGCGCATGCTGGCACTCCCTTCCTGGGGGGCTGGGGAAGACAGGGCACCCTGCCTCCCAGGCTTGGCTTCCTGGCTCTCCCTAGCCCCGCGGGCTTGGGATCCGAGGGTCCTGCCCACCGACTGGCTAGTCTCAGGCAAGGCCCAGGCCAGAGAAGCTGGAGGCCTTCAGAGGCGATGAGCAGGAATAGAGCTCTGCATTTCTTTCCAAGAAGGCCTCCGTTTAATTCCACCGCCTGGGCCAGGGGACACCTAGTGTCCTCTCGTACTAAGTCCCCTTTCTTTTTGTTAAAGTCCCACAGTGAGGAAAAAATAGAGAGCAAGCTCAAGGCGAGCAATTCTAAGGAGTGAGGGGATGGGAGCTTTAGTCTGGAGGGAGAAGTTAGGGGACGGATGGGAGGAGAGCAGAAGGCCCCCTCTGGGGCCCCCGAGGTCAGAGACCTTCTGCAGGTATGGTACAAACACGGACATGGGTTCACGAGATCTGGGTTTGGAGCCTAGTTCCACCGCCAGCTGTGTGACCTTGGGCAAGCCCCTCCGGGCCTCAGTTTCCTTCACTGTAGAGTGAGGTAAATGATCCCTGCCTCACACGGGCCAGATGAGATCCTAGAGCAAAGAAGAGGTGAGAGCACCTGATACCCAGTGGGTGCTTAACCCAGGTGAAAACCCAGCTCCAGCTGCCTCCTTGGGGCACCAGGGATCCTTGGGTCACATCCTCTCCTCAGAAGGGAAACATTATGGGAAAACTAACCCAGGTATGGATTTAGCCAAAGGAGAACGACTAACACTATCAATAGGGCTGATAACTGAGCTGAAGCCAGTCTCACCCCTGGGTCGTCAACGGGTTGGGGGTGAGAGAGAGGAGTGTCCCGGGATCCCATTCATCAGGCCTCCTGTCTGCCCTCAGGAAAAGAGGAGGGCCTATTTTACCGCTCTCCATACTGCCCAAACCCCCACTGGTCCCCCCTCAGTCTGGGAAGCCGCCTGGCTGCGGCTGAGCCCGGGACAATGGGCACTGGGCAGGTGGGGACAGGACCAGCCTGCCCGTCGTGCCTGCTCCCAGCTCAGGCCACAGAAACGGAACCACAGCAGCGGCCGCCATGGGCCCGGCCACGGTGAGGGGGGCAGGGGTGAGCACCCCGGCCCACCTAGAGCCTGCCCGATCGGGAGTGGCTCTGCAGGCCAGGCCAGTAGCTAGGCAGGCTCCACCATCAGCTCAGTTCACTTCCCATTTGTATCTGTTTTGTTCCTGTCATAACGCACTCCTCAGATGACCAGCGGCTGTGTGCAGAGAGACGCCTGGGGCGGAGCGCTACTCCTCTGCCCTACTGGCCTTCAGTGAATGCCCCAAGGCCATGGCCGAGGCTGCAGGCCCCCGAGTAGGGGAGGTACTGACCCAGGGGCTGGTGCTGTGGTATTCCTGGGGGAAACAGGGTCAGTAGGGAGGCCACAGCCCAGAACACCTACACCTCAGGCCTGGAGGGGTAACAGAGCCAACGTCCTGCGGATGTCCCCATCTGCCCCTGGGTTTTCTGATGTCACCCACAGGAGGTACAGAACCTCAGAACACCTTCCAGGCCAGAATAAGAAACAAGCCACCTCTCCATCTCAAGAACAGGCGCGTTCGGTGGAAAGAACACGTTGCAGTCGGAGGAGCAGGGCTTGGACTCACAGCATGCCACTATCTGGCTGTGTCATCTCAGGCAAGATCTTTACCTTCTCACAGCCCCAATCCATTAAACGGGAAGGACAGCTCCACTCTAAGTTTACTGGGAGGACTAGAGCTTAATGCAAAGTACAGTTAATAGCAGTCATTAATTTTTTTAGATGGTGTATTCCCACCTGTCTGTCCCAGGAACCGCTGAACCGAAGGGCTGGCCTCTGCCTTGTACTCCTTAGCAGGAGGCAAGTCCTCTTTTGGGACAAGTGCCATTAAGCTCCATACAGCTGTTCACATCAGTATTCACAACCAGAAGTTGGAAACTAGGGAAGGCGTCCTGCTCTGTTGTTACTTAACTGTGTTTAACAACATTCAACACCTCTGAATCCTGGTTTCTTCATTGCTTCAATACGAAGAACTAACCCTGCCTGGTCCCAGACTCCTGACCTCAACTGGAATGGCTGATGTGATTCCATATCAAAAGGGCAAATATCTTGGGCTCCTGGAGGAATTGAAAGGTCCAGCTAGGCTCTGAGCTTACTCAGAGAGCTCCCCCGGCTGGTCCACCCTGGGGTTTGCCGAGCAGAACATACTCATTGATGGCACAGTCCCTTGGAATCCAAAAGAGAAGAACCAGAGAAGGCGAAAAGTCCCCCAGATACCCCAGAATGCTCAGAAATAGGACCTAGCTCTCCTAACTTCATCTCATTCCTGCCTCCCTACCGCTTCCTCCTCTCAACTTGGAAAGAACGTGAATTATCCACACTTGTCGCTCTCCCCTAGCGCACATAGCCTCGAGCTGACACGAGCAGGGTCAGTGAAGTGCATGAGAAGTCCCCAGAACCCACAGCACACCCAGGCCAGGGCACGACCTGGCCCTCACCTTCTGAGCTGATCTCAGGACTGTAGGAGAAGAAACAAAGGCAGCTGGCCCCTGGCTTCAACTCTCAGTCCTGAAAAAGGTCTCTGCCCTCCACCGGCTGCCCTGGGGATGCCTGCAGCCCCAGCCTGGTAGGCCTCGGCCCTGGAGACCTCTGTTCCTCAGGCAGGAGCTGCATCTGCCCTGGTCTGGCATTGGCCTACAGCCCCACTTCGGTCTCCCCTCCTCCCCTGGATGGGGAAGTAGAACTTTTCCTTCCATGACTTGGTGGAGGCCCAGCCCAGGAGGTGCTGGGGAAGGGTGACAGAGCTCTGAGACTCATTAACACGACAACTTGGGAGGCCAGAGGTGAGGATCAGCTTCCACAGCAAGAGGCAGTCTCAGACCCAATACATATTGCTCTTTCCTGTCTCCAACAGACCCCAGCCAGGCTTCAGGCTGCCAACGGGGAAGCCAGACTCCAGCCCCCAGGGTTCTCTTTTTTTTTTTTTTTTAAAGAATTTTTAAAGCTGTCCAAGCATATCTCCGCCCCTCTACCCCCTTTCACCTAAAGGGATTGGGAGAAACTGGATCAACTTGGGGAGGGAATGGCGGGAAGGGACCAGACAGACCTTGCCTAGATCAACCTATGCCACCCCCCTCTCCCCCCATATACCCGCTTCAAGCAGTAACCTGAACCGGGGCTTTCTGGGAAACCAGTCGGTGCCGCAGCAGGAAGAAAAGAAGTGGCAACAAATCTGGGATCATCACAGGCTGGCCACTGACCGCGGGAGCCTGCAGCGCCCAGAACATTAGGCCCTTCCTGTCGAACTGAAGCCAGGCCATCCCAGGTGACCAGGAAGCCTTAGGGGCATGGCATGGGGCAGACATCTAGACTTATCTCCCTGAAAGAAGGGTTCTCCGGAAACCTGGATGAGAGGCCTGGGTTCTGGTCCCAGCTCTGTCTGCCATGGGCTGAAGCTGGTGTCCCCTCTACAAAACTCACACTTCACAGCACAGGGAGCTGCCCCCAGCATTCAGAGGAGGTGGCATGCATGGAAGGAGCTGATACAGCGGCCTGCCACAGAGTAGGCGCTTAACACACCCAGTTTTCTTCCCCCAAACCCTGCCTGCCTCCGGCAGGAGGCCTAATTCCAGCTCTCCAGGATGCTGGCCCTGCAGAGGAGGGGGGGTGGTCAATGAAGAGAGGCGGCCTGCGCATAAAGAAGGGGGTGGAAGAGCTCAGCTAAGGGTACCCCACTCCCTCCCTCGGAGGGGATGCGGCAAAGCAGGCAGCTGGGATGAGGTCCAAGTAGTAAGTCAAGAGTGTGCAATCTCCTGATGAGGCGTGCAGGAGAGAGGGTGTGTGTGTGGGGGGGGGCGGGCTGTGAGTCCCCTGTGGGCCCAGGGAAGCCGGAGGGAATTGGGAGGGAGGCAGAGGCAAGGTAAATCAGTCTCTGCCCGCTCCTGCCAGCCCCTATTCCCACCGCCACGGGTCCCCTTGCACACCCAAGAGGAGACCCAGGCTCCTGCCACTCACCCTGGCCGCCCGGGAGGAGTAGGGATCCTCGAAGAGCGCCCACATGCGGGGCTGCCAGCCACGGCAGCCCCCGGACCCGGCGCCGGGGCCCGCACCTCCCTCGTGGGGCCCCAGGCGCTGCAGGGCCAGCTCCCGTTCATCGTCGCCGGCCTCGTCGCCCGTCCCCGCGCCACCGCCGCCTCCGTCCGGGCTCTCGAAGATATCGAGCGCCTCTTCGGCGTCGCGGTGCTGGCGGTAGGTCATCCAGCAGCAGGGCTCCACATCGGTCTCGTCGATGCCCCAGAAGGTGAGCTCCTCCTCGAAGAGCGGCCCGCACACGTCGGCGGGGCAGTGCAGCTTGCCCGTGCGGTAGTAGTTGAGCACGTAAGCAAAGACGCCCGGGTGCCGGTCGAAGAAGAACTCGCAGCTCCCGCCGCCGCTGCTGCCGCGGCTGCCTGCACCGCCGCCATCGGACTCGGGCCGGCCCCCGCCGTCGGGATCGGCCAGCCAGGCGAGGCGGGTGCCCGGTAGGGTGCGCAGGGTGCTGCGGTAGGTCTCATGTCGCGTGCCGCCCACGTTGATGATGATCTTCTCCGACGCCTCGCCCTTGGCCATCTCCTCCTTCAGACATGTTTTGGACGGAGGCTTGTTCCCCGACTTGCGCCCACGGTAGGAGGAGACACACACCGAGCTGATCATAAGAAGCGCTGCGGGGCTTCGGCTTGGGGCGGCCGCTGCCCTCCAAACACCCTTCCCGAGGAGGCAGCGTCAGACCGGGGAGGGGGAGGAGGCGAGGAGGAGGCGAGGAGGAGGCAGGAGGAGGCGGCGGCGGTCCCCTCTGCGGCTTGGCCCTGCCCCTGCCTCTCCCCCCCCGGGGCGCAGAGCAGGAGGAGTTGGGTTTCTCGGGTGCACAGGTGGTTGGGGTTTGGGCAGGCAGCTCCGGCGAGGGAGGCAAGGAGGGAAAAGGCGAGCCGAGGACCCAGGCGAGAGACCCGGGGAGGCAGGGGCAAACACACACCTCCCCGGCTAGGACTGGACACTCAGACGCTCGGGCTCTGGACACGCCCCCCCCGTCACCCCCAAAAGGCGAGTTAGCGCACAGTCCAGGCGCACTGCGAGGGTCCGGGGCGCGCGCGCGCGCGCTCACACTCACGCAGGCCACCCTCCGGCTCTCGCAGACCGAGCCGAGTCCCGGGAGCGGCCGGCTTCCCCGCGGCGGCGGCGGCGGCAGCGCAGCAGCAACAAGTCCTCGGAGCGGCTGCCGGGGCCGGGCCGACGCTCTCACGGCAGCCGGAGCTCCGCGGGCCCGGGGTGCTTGCGGTCAGCACGCGGCGGCGGCGGCGGCATGTGGCCTCTTCCCCCCATTCATAAATCCAGCGCAGGGCACGGAAGGCGGGCGGGGCTGAGCGGAGCGCGGCGTTCAGGCGGGCGGGGGCTGCGCAGGGCGAGGCGGCCGCAGGAAAACAAGCGCGCCAGCAGGAGCGAGCCTCCGGTCCTGCGTCCGCCGCTCGGCAGCGGCTGGGAGCGGCGCTGGGCTGGCGCTGCGCAGCGGGGGCCGTGCTGGGGCGGGGTGGGGAGGGGGGGCTCAGACGGGGCGTCCTGCGCAGCGCCGAGCCTGGGGGGCGGAGCCGCTCCGGGGCGCGGGGTTCTGGGCTCCGGCGGCCGAGCGGCCAAGGACACCTGCAGGCTTCCCAGGCTGCGCCGATCGGGAGCTTCAGCGCAGCGCCCCGGCGCCGGGCTCCTGCGATCTGGCGGCGCTGGGAGCCACGCCATCCTCGCGTCTGCCCATCTCCGGGCGGGGTGCCGGCCTTGGCTCGCGGCAGGAGGCGGGCGAAAGGTGGCCTAAGGAAAGGGGAGCCTTGGCGCCGGTGGGCTGGGCCTCAGGGGGCTCTCGATCTCCCTCCGGCGATGGTAGCGGATGCCACTCTCTGGTGGCGCCTTTTCCTCCCGGCCCCGCCTCGCCCGGGCGCGCCCTCCGCGGGGTGGGGTGGGCGGGGCGCGGCGCGGGGCCGATCGGGCTCGCTGCAGGGCCCCGGCGGCAGAGCTCAGCCTTCCTCCGCTGAGCCGAGCCGAGCCGAGCCGAGGCGCGTAACCCCCTCGCCGCCAGCGCCCAGCCTGGCGCGCCGCCGCTGCGCGCCTCCGCCACCGTCCCTCCCCCCCACCCCCCCGCCGTCCCCTTCTGCCCGGCTCCCCGCCTTCCCGAGCCCGCAGCTCCTCCCACTGCAGCCCCGGTGACACCGAAGCGCTCGCGACCCCTGACCTCTAACCCCCGCCCGCTCCTTCTGGCTGCTCTGGTCGCCCCCTCCTCATTGTTGTTGCGGTTGCATTGCGGCGGACTGGAGGACGGGGAAGGAAGGGAGTGGAGAGACGGTGTCGCGAGGAGGAGGCTGCCCCCTCCTGTCCCAGACACCGTGTTGGGACTTCCTAACCACCCCGCCCCCATCTTGCGCCTCCGAGGCCCAACTAGGCCCAAGATGCCTGTGGTCTCCGTACCGTCTCTGTCACCGTCACCGGAGCCCCCGCGGTGGAATGGGGGACCTGGGGGCCTTGCGCAGAGAATTGGCTCCTGGTCCGGGCGGAGGAAAACCTGAGCTCTGGCACCTATGGGGATGGAGTGCGTGGTCCTGAAAGATCATTAGGTTAAAGCCGGGGCTCCTCGTTGCCCTGGAAGCACGTGCCTGCGTCCTGCCTTGCGACCCCCTTCTGGTTCTGTGTTGTTTTACTCATTGCAGTTTGTCTCCTCTCCCCTCTCTGGCCCTGAGGTCTTCCAGACCGCGCTGCTTTTTCATCTTGATAGCTCCCACAGTGCCTGCCTCTGAGAACCTGTTTGCTAAGTGATTGAGAAGCTGCCATACCCAAAACATTAGGCTCCAGCCCGATCTTACTGGCCTCATCCCAAGAGCAATTTCCAGATTCATTTTTTTTATTTGCTTTTGAGTCCAGAGCCTCTTCTACATCTTTAAGTTAATTCTCTCTCTCTCTCTCTCTCTCTCTTTTTTTTTTTTTTTTTTTTTTTTTACAGCTTGAGGCAGCCTCCATGTCCATCCGGATGACATAAGGAGGATTTTAAGGCAGAAATGCAAGGCGATGGACACCTGGTCTGGACACCTGTGCACCATCCAACTTCCAGATCAGGCAGTACCTGGCTAAACTGGGAAAATAAGACAGGGGCCTGGGTGTGCTCTGAGGAAAAGTTAAAAGCTCAATGCAAATGCGAAGGATTGTCAGCAAAAGTCTCATTAATGAGGTCAGGAAACCAAAGGGACCGGGGTCTTTGATAATCCGTACTAATATGCAGAGAAGCTGGGTACCATCTTGGACTGCAGCCAGAAACACACATTTGTTGACACCTCTTTTGTGTCCAGTCCCTAATGTCTGCATTTCAGAGTTTGGCTGGCTTTGATTTTCCTGCAGCAAAGAAGAAATACCCCAAGTGTGACTGGGAAGAGAAGACCCGGGACTGGCCAGAAGCTAGAGTGAGAAAGGAAGAGCCATAGCAAGGATTTTGACTGTGATGAATGGCTTTAACATGCTATCTGGGTGTGTCCTGGCAGACTCCCTTGGGGTCTCCCCCACTTTGCATTTTTCAGGCTGGCTGAACTCAGTCATTCTAAGAAGAGGGAGAAATTGATGGGAGTGGGGTGGGAGGAATGGAAAAAAAAAAAAATCCTAGCATCCCATACCTGAGTCATTTGTTCCTCCAGTAAATATTTCTTGAGTACCTACTATGTGCCATAAGCTGTTCAGGCACTGGAAATCAATGAATCAAACAACCCTCCCCTCTCTACCTCCCCCCCAGCCCCCCAGATCCCAGCAGATGTCTGCTCTCTTGGTGCTTCCCTTCTGCAGTGTTTGTGGATGGTGATAAGTATGTGGGGAGATGGGTGGAGGGAGAAAGCTACCAGGCAAATAGAAGGCCTGGGCAGGGGTGGGGCGATCAAAAAGCTGGGTTTGGGTAGGGGAACCCAGGAAGAGCCAGGGAAAACAGAAGGCCCAGCCTGGGAGAGGCAGTGAGTCAAAGTGCAGGAGGTGGGAGGGTCTCTGACTCAGTGCACTGACCAGCTCCTGAAGATGGGAGCTCAGCCTCAGGACAGAAGCCTCCAGAGAAGTCCTCACCACTTGCTGAAGGTTTTATCCTAGAGCTCTGAGCTAACCTGTCACCTGGCCTTTCTGGAATTTTCTGGGGCCTTCAGTTGCAGCTGGCATCAGAAGCCTCATCTCCATTAGTTCTGCGTGTATGGGGTCACGCTATTTCCCCAAAGTACAGAGCCCAGGACAGAGTAGAGAGCCCCCTGCCCAGCCTGCCCTGTGGACAGCCTACTCTGGGTGGGTGGGTGTTGCCCCCTGGTGGTACTAGGAATCCCTGCTCCAGACTTCACCTCCACTCTGGGCTGTGGGGATAAGGAGAAAGGGGGTTATAGGCTTGGGGTGACAGCAGATTCTGGGCTTCCTGTCAGTTCCCAGCCTACTTCTCTCATCGGGGACTCTGTCTGTTCTTGCCTTTTCCCACTCCTCCAACCCCGATAACTGGCAGGCTTAAGCAAGGCTGTGAAATAGCCACAGTTGGAAACTCCTAATTCCACAAGCCTCTTTCCCTCCATTGTCACCTTTTCTCCACGTTCCTTCCCAGGGCCCCGTGGTTTTGTCTCGCAGTCAGAAAAGAACATCTGTCTGGGCACTAGTCCACACTAAAGTAGCAGCCACAGTGGTTCCCCTCACCAGGAATAAAGGTGGGGCACAAGCGTGGGAAAAGAGGGCAACGTTTGCTCCCAGAGTGACACTGACGGGCTGGCAAGCCCCTCAAATAAGGCCCTTCCTTGGTCTCTGAGAGCTGAGGCCGGCCCTGCCCACCCAAAGCTGGAGAGCCTGACATCAAAGCCATTTGCCCTTGCCCTTGCCCTACTGCCCTCCTCTCCATCTTCCTGCTCTGGACTCTACTTGTTTTGAGGGGTTCCGGGCCTAGCAGCGAGTCCCACACCTATCAAGCAAGGACCTCCCCATTGATATTCACATCTCCCGAGCCCTTTTGGCATTCGGAGCTCTGGCCAGGGACTGACCCCTCCTCCCTGAGGCCCAGGTCAAGGAGCCAGCATCCTTTCCCAGCCTGCCTTGCTCCCCAGACCAATTAATTGAATTGTTTTATCAACCATCATCACTGGGGGGAAGGTGATAGAGCCTTTCCCTCCCTCTCATAGAGGCCCTAAAGAAGAGAGCCAGAGGAGGTTGGAAGGCTCCTGTTTTGCTTATCAGTCCATTGAACCCTGGCCTCCCACCCCCACCTGCAGGCAGCCTGCAGAGACTAACAGGCTCCAAATCAAATGCCAAGAGCCTTCCCAGGAGGGGCCTGGGGAAAGCCCAGCATGGAGGACAGCCCTCGGGGCCTTGTGGAGGTCCACTGTAATGGTTCTGCACAGGGGCAGAAGGCAGGGTTGGGTGGCTCTGAAAAATCCTAGGGAAGGGTATGTGGGGCTCTGGGGAACTCAGGAGATGGACTCTGATGTCCCAGCTCTTAAAGAGAAAGGACCAGAAGGGTGCAGGCCACAAGCTCAGGCCTGGCCAAGACTCAGAGCCTCATAAATCACGGACTCAGAGTCAGAGGGCTGGCAGGGAGTGGAGTGCCAGCTCCCAGGTACATTCTCCTTGAGAGATTTCAGGCCTAAGGAGCAGCAGTGAGCTCTGGGAGACTGAGCTGGGCCTATGGTTGGACCAAGGGTAGAGAATGATATGGGGTCCCACGTGGCCTCTGCCTGTAGAACTGTATTCATGGGAGTCACAGGACCAGGACCAGCTAAATGGACCCCCCCAGAGCCCTCTTTACTCAAGGCTGCTGGGATAGAGACCCAGTCTGCATCTAGAGATAGCATGCGCGCGCGCACACACACACTAACTCAGGGTCCAGCTGGCAAGACTTCTTGGCACTCGGCATTTCTCCATCTAGAAAAGTACAGATTCCTCCCACCTGGCTAAATTCCAGCAAAACTGGTTCATTCCATCAGAGTGCTTAATTAGTTCTGACGGTCCCAGCCCCCTCCAGCAGTGTCCTGGGGAAAGGGGAAGCCATTGTCTGGAGAGCCAGACCCAACCCTGGCTCCTCTTGGACGCTCAGGAAGCCCAGGGACCCTTCTCCGCTTGGGCCAGCCCTGGGAAGAACAGAGAGACCCAGAAGCCAGCCAGCTTTGACCCAGGGAGCCGCCAGGTGGATCTCCACCGAGTCTTTCTGCTCTGTATCTGGCACTGTCGCTGGCATGGGGTAATCTTAATAATGGTTTGTGGTTGAGTGACAGATATAGCCTTCTCCCCATTTCCCGGGTTTCCTCCCACGTAGGACAATGTCAGTGAAGAATGCACCTGTGTGCCTGGCACCAGTGGGTAATGACAGTGGCGGGACACTCCAAGTCAGATTATGACTACCTGTACGAGGCAGAGGCCCCTGCCTGATCCTTATTTGTATATTCCCAATGCTTAGCACAATCCTTAGGACTCAGAACACTCAGTTCATGCTCGATGCATGGAACTAGTGAGGTGGGATAAGGTGGGGGGAGGGTAGAAGCCCTCCCTGTCAGAACTTGCATTGCCTAGACTGAGAGTCAAGAAACCCAGGCAGCAGCCCTGGTTTTCCCCCTGTTTGCTTGTCAGAATTCTGCGTAGATCTCTTCCCCTCCCTGGGCCTCAGTTTCTCCAATTGTTCTAGAAGGAAGTTGGGCCAGATCGTCCGTAGGCTTCGTGTTCTGGTTACTATCACTTTGAAGCAAATTACTCCCCAAATTTAGTGGGGTCCATATGACGAGCATTTTATTTTGCTTAGGATACTAAGGGTCAGCAGGTCAGAAGGGCTCGGTTGGACAATTCTCGCTTGGGGTCCCTCATGCAGCTGCAGTCCACGCGGGCTGCAGACCTCTCAAGCTCATGTTCACCGTGCCGTGTTCCCAGGGCCCGCAGGTGATGGCGGCTGTCAGCTGGGAGTTCAGCCGCACCTGGCA